AATAGACCACAAAGATAATCCAGATGATTAGAGAGAAAATGGACGGCCCAGAGTGGGCAAAAAAGCTACCATGATTATAGGAGGAAAGACTTGGAATTCAACGAGGGTGACCATGAATTTCTTAGAGTCAATCCGGTGACCAGTGTTGGTCGTGCGTTGAAATCAAAGAAATTGGATCCTAAGTTCATTGGACCGTATCAGATTCTTCAGAGGGTTGAAGCGGTTGCTTATAGAGTGGTGTTGCCACCCAAACTTTTGAATTTACATGACTTGTTTCATGTATCACAACTTCGGAAATATGTTGCTGATCCATTTCATGTGCTTCAGAGGGATGAAGTACAAGTTCGAGATAACCTTACGATAGAGGCGATGTCGTTGAGGATCGAAGACCACAAGATGAAACAACTAAGAGGGAAAGATATTCAGTTGGTGGGAGTAGCTTGGGAAGGAGCTGCTGAAGGAAGTGTGACCTGGGAATTGGAGAGCAAGATGCGAGAGTCGTACCCGGAATTGTTCTCATCAGGTACATTTTCGAGGACGAAAATATTTTAAGTGGGGGAAAGTTGTAACACCCCATTTAAATTATTTAGTCATTTTATACTTTGTTGTGCGTGTATTGGTTGTGATGTCCTTAGTTAGGGGTATGAAGTTAGGGGCAAGAGCGCGAGGTGACCTTAGTTGGGGCGAGGTGAACCTATAATAATAATAATATTAACCATTTAATAACAATAATAAGAATATTATGGTTATTGATATTATTATTGATAATAATATTAATAGGATGGTAGTTATTATTATTATTATTGTTGTTGTTATTATTATTATTATTATTATTATTATTATTATTATTATTATTATTATTATTATTATTATTATTATTATTATTATTATTATTATTATTATTATTATTATTATTAATTGGATTAATGGAACTAAAACTTGACTAAGGGGGTAAGAGAGGGTTAGTGGAAGAGTTAGACAGTTAACACGTAAAAGAGAAAAAAAGACAGAGAAAGGAGAGATAGGGCAAACATACACTTACCCCGTATTTCATTGTTCACCAATATGATAAATAGTGAAATATTATAATATATATATATATATATATATATATATATATATATATATATATATATATATATATATATATATATATATATATATATATATATATATATATATATATATATATATATATATATATATATATATATATATATATATATATATATATATATATATATATATATATATATATATATATATATATATATATATATATATATATATATATATATATATTAAATTTATTTTTAGATTAAAGGATGCTGATATAAAATTGTGTGATTAATCAACTTTATAATTTTATTAATCAATATATTATATTTTATTAACCAACTTTGTTTACTGTTAAGAATTATTTTTTATATCTGAACGTTTATTAACCAACTTTATAATTTTAACTAATTAACTTTATTTTACTACAAAAAATATTTTTAATATCTGGGTGTTTATTAACCAATTTTTTACATTTCATTAACCAACTTTGTTTCACTACTTAAAGTCACTGTTCATGGACAATGTTCACGTTAGGGGTGACAAACGAGAATGTCCGCTCCGTTTAGGCCCTCCCCGCAAAAGCCCGCAAAAAAAAGGATGGGGCGGGGTGAGCATAGTTGAGAATGCGACTTAAAAGCTACGTCAGCCCCATACAAAGTGAGGATGGGACGGAGAAGGCCCGCAGATACAACACATTTTAAGCCTTCAAATGCAAAAATTTATATAAATGCAAAAGCCTGTGAAGAAAACGGGGTGGGGCGGATACATTATAGGGTGATGTCCTAAATTCTTAACCTGCTCTACACTAAAGTGTGGGTAAAACAGACATACCCAACAAGCCGTACCCATTTTTCCATCCCTAGTTCACGTACTATTCATTTAACGGTTCACAAATATATATATATATATATATATATATATATATATATATATATATATATATATATATATATATATATATATATATATATATATATATATATATATATATATATATATATATATATATATATATATATATATATATATATATATATATATATATATATATCAAATGAAAGTATTTAGTGTCAAAATAGACGTAGGAATAACATTCTTGTATTACTTATGTAAGCTCCCAACAAAGTAAATAAAATATTATACATGCTTAATATTATTCATCAACAAGGTAAACATATTATTACTTAACAAATATACTCATTAATAAACTACGAGTAATATTTTACAACACATATTATTACTTGTATAAGACCACCAACAAGATAACAACAATATTCTACAACCCTTTCGCTCAATAGGGTCAACTCATAATCCATCACATAACTCAATACAACACATTATTATTTACCTTCAACTCTAACATTTTCATAAAAAAACTCTAAACTGATTTCTAATCATTTTATGATCAACTTTAAAAATATAAAATATCTCAAACTCAACTCTCTTAATTTAAATCAACTCTAAAACATAATCCCTATAAGTGTACTTGATTATGTGATAAAAAAATTGATTTTAAATTAATTAATTTTATAAAATTAAAAAAAAAGGGTGATGTATTGATAGTGTAATTTTTTTTTAAATTATCAACCAATAACGCTCATTTATCCCGCAAAATTATACTAAAAATTTTAAACTTATTATATAACAGGTCATAATGATATATATCTATTGGATATTATAAAACATTTTTAAATTATTAGTGTATAACAATTAAATCATAAAATTAATAATGATTAAGTTTTAGTTGAAATTAAAATAGTTTATATTTAAATAAATTAATATAAAAATGAGTTAAATATTAAATTTCAGTATATACAATTACGTGTGAATTTAAAAGTTACTAATTCTAAATAAAATCAATTATAAAAATTTAATCAAATTCTTAAAATCAAGGAAAATGCTGTTCCATATTACTATCTCATTGTTTTTAATTAATATTTGGTTTAAATGAAGGAAGTGTATTACACAATCGTGGGTTCCTATACTATGCTCTAAAATCATTTCGTGAATCCCTAATTCTAATCACTCGATAATCATCGCTGTTCTTCTCTCCCTCGATTTCTCTACTTTTCTCTAATAACCTGTTTGGATTGGCTTATATAGAGCTTAATTTGACTTATCTACTAACATAAGTGCTTATAGACCAATTCCATAAGCGCTTATTACCTCTCATAAACTCCTTTACCAAACCCTCATTCGTTCCAACCTCATTCTCTTTGCACTCTTCGCTTTGCAACGCAGGTATTTTAGACCGACCTTGCTGTTTTTTTGCTGTGATTTTGGCTTTTGTTACCTTTACTTTCTATTTGCTTTGCTGGCTGATTCACCCTGCGTTCAATTTGCTTGTTCATGCCGTGGTTTTTGTGCTCTTCATTTTTTTGCTGGCATGAATAGCGCAGTGTGTAGTGGTTTTTGCTTGTTCTCGTATTTTTTCCTGATTTGCTTAATTGTTCGTCTTATTTTCCTCTATTAGGACTAAAGTACATAAAATGAAGCTAAATTAAACATTTTCTGTTGTATGTAAAAAATTTAGAAGGTGAAGCTGGTTACAGATGCGAGCAGGGTTTTCGCAATTTCGGTAACACCAATTGCGGTCATCGCCGTGTGAATTAATCATAATTTGTTCTTTAATTTAGAAAACAGTGATAACGGTATCGGTAGCATCTGCCAAAACCGTTTTGATGCGGCCGTTTTTGCGGTCGCGGACTGTTTATTAAAACCCTGGGGATGCGAGCACATCTCAAGTCAAACTTCTTTTCTGCAAGCGATAATTTCATGCTTGGAAGTGCTTGTTTTTTGTCCTTGAGGTTTGAACTCTGCAGAGTGTATATTACTACTTCTCTAGTTCTTGTTCTGTACAATAATTATATACTAAGTTTTCATTTTGCATTCATGTTGTCAAAGAATTTCTCAAACTTTCCCTATTTCTTAATTAATGTGTAATGCATAAATGAAGAGTTTTCCTAATTTTTTTAAATGTTTTTTTTATGACTAGTGAACATGAGAGTAAAGCGCAAAAAACATTTGTTGCATAAATATTATATGAATGATTATAATTTCAATTGAGAATTGAAAATGAATTTCACTTTTATCAGTTGATCAATATCAATGAAAGCATTAGTGAAGAATATGAGGTCAGGGAGGGTTTAGAGGGATTTAGTATAGGAGCATTATATTAAGTATCTTACTTTTATTTCGAATAGAAAACAACCTAAATCAATCTTTTGTATGGTTAATATGAAAATAACTTGTAGAAATTGTCATGCATTGCCTTGTTTGATCTGCACCTTACCCATGTTTGCGGCCATCTCACATAGACTTGTAAAGCACCATTAGATATGCTTCCACAGTTGCGCTACATTATATGTTCATGGCATTGTCAAAACTATACATCAGAGTTATCAATCCTGAGAAATAGCGGTGCTATCTCGAAGAGCGGGCAGCGTAGAGGCCGACCTTTATTCGAAAAGCCATTGCACGAAAGGCTATTGCGGCACAGCTATTTGGCCATTAGCAGGATCATCATCAAACAAGTCTTTTTATTTTTTTACGATGACACAAGATGTTGTAGAAGACGAAGATTTGTTTGATGATGATATTTCTATGCTTGTTTGAATTTTAATATAATAGTAGTCTAAATTTGATGTTTTGAATTTGTTAAGACTTGTTGAATTTGATTTGATTAAGAGTTTTTGATTAAGACCTAGATTTATTATTCTCTTGGATAGAACAAACTATATGAACAATAACTCAACATCAATGTAATGATTTATTGTTTTCTTCCCTTTTATGTTGTTTACAATTGGACGAGGGCTTTAACAGAATTACTTACCTTGATCTATGTCTTGTGATATGAGTTCTAAATTTTTTTGGAATGTACTAGCAACTAATTTTGTTGTTCTTTGTGTCTGATGCAATTTCTAGATACTTGCTTGCTCCTGATGGAAAAGAACCAGCCGGTTTTTGTCAAAGATGCTGTCCTGAAATTGCAATTGTCTCTCCTCGATGGCATCCAAAGTGAAGACCAGCTGTTTGCAGCTGGATCTTTGATATCAAGAGGTGACTATGAAGATGTTGTAACTGAAAGGTCCATTACTAATATGTGTGGTTATCCTTTGTGCCACAATGCTTTGCCAACTGATCGCCCTCGGAAGGGTAGATATCGAATTTCGTTGAAGGAGCACAAGGTGTATGACCTGCATGAAACTTACATGTTTTGTTCTTCCAGTTGTATGGTTAACAGCAAAGCTTTTGCTGGGAGCTTGCAAGATAAGAGATGCTCAGTTTTAGACCCGGAGAAACTGAACAATGTTCTTAGGTTGTTTGGGAATTTGAATATGGAACCAATGGAACATTTTGGAAAGGATGGACAATTAGGTTTTTCTAGCTTGGAAATCCAGGATAAAACAGAAACTGGCACTGGGGAGGTGTCTTTGAAGCAGTGGGTTGGACCATCTAATGCAATTGAGGGTTATGTACCAAAAAAAAGAGATAACAGCTCTAAGGGTTCTCAGAAAAATACCAAAAAAGGTGAGAATCTTACAGAGTCAATTATAATTGTGGGAAATCCTAGATTACTACGCATCCTTATGCCATATTTTGCTCAGGAGTGTCTATTTATTGTATTGTATTACTTGTTTTCCTTATGGGTGATTATGATATAGACGAAAAGTTGAGGGCCTAAGTTCTGAGAAATGGAGTAGTGTAGTTACTTATTCTTATCCTTTTCCACTTTCCAACTGCTGATTGTGCTTTGCAGGATCCAAAACTATTTGTGGAAAGTTGAATGGTGACAAAAGCTCAATTATCAGTGAGTTTGACTTCACGAGCACAATAATCACGCAAGATGAGTACACTGTTTCAAAATTATCATCAGGGCAAACAGACACAACTTGTGATGGACAAATAATTCCAACAGCCATATTGGAGCAGCCAAAAAGGGTTGCCAATAAAGTAGTCAGGAAAGATGATGATATACAAGACCTGTCTTCATCCTTTAAGAGTAGTCTTATTTTAAGTCTCTCAAAAAACAAAAAGGAAATAGCCAAATCATCTGAAGATGTTCTCAAACCCTCTCTCGATCCTTCTATTGAAAAGAAAGTTGTCCAATGTAATATGGAACAGAATGATTTTGAAAGGAAATCAATACAACTCAAAGGAGAAACAAGTATAGTTGCTGCTAACGGCGATGCTTCCACTTCTATTTTAGTTCCTGCCAATGCTGAAGGGGAACTCCAAATTGAAAAAACAATTGGATCTTTCCCGACAAAACCCAAATCTTCTCTTAAATCTGATAGTAAAAAGAAGCTCAGTCGCTCTGTTACATGGGCTGATGAAAAAACCAACAGTTCTGGGAGTAAAGATCTTTGTGCAGTTAAAGAATTTGGAAACATTAAAAAAGAATCTGACATGCCAGATAATATAGATGCTGCTGCGGATGAAGATATGTTACGTTCTGCATTAGCAGAAGCTTGTGCAATTGCATTGAGCCAAGCATCAGAGGCTGTTGCCTCAGGAGACTTAGATGCCAATGATGCCGGTAAATGATGTTTCTTTAGAGAATTTTCTGTTTGAATATTAAATTATTTCTAATTATTTTTGTCTACTAATGCTTCTTGTGCAGTTTCTGAAGCTGGGATCACTATATTGCCACATCCTCCCAATGCTGTTGAGGAAGGTACTATGGATGATGATGACATTCTAGTTGAGGAAGGTACTATGGACGAAGATGACATTCTAGAAGCAAATTCAGTTACTCTGAAATGGCCAAGGAAACCTGGAATTTCCAAATTTGATTTGTTTGATTCTGAAGACTCATGGTTTGATGCTCCACCAGAAGGTTTTAGTTTGACTGTAAGTCTCTTGTATAATCTATTGAAAGTATTTAAAGCCAATACATGTTTTCATGGTATACTCAATTACATACCTCTTTTTTTCAGTTGTCACCTTTTGCTACTATGTGGAATGCCTTCTTTTCGTGGATAACATCATCTTCTTTGGCATATATATATGGGAGGGATGTAAGTTTCCACGAAGAGTTTCTATCAGTTAATGGGAGAGAATATCCTAGCAAAATTGTCTTGACAGATGGTCGATCATCTGAAATAAAACAAACATTAGCCAGTTGTCTTGCTCGAGCTTTACCTGCAGTTGCTGCTGAGCTCAGGCTGCCAATACCAATATCTACATTAGAACAAGCGGTGGTAAGATTTTTAAGTTATCTGTTTATTATAATTTCTATTGTAATATGCTTATTTTTAAACTAAGTCATTAGATATTTATTACACTCTGGTAGTCAAAGCCTACTGCATATTACAATGTATTGATTAAGACATCTCTATTATGTTTGTGACCCCCTCTAAAAAAAAATCAAAGCCACACATACACCAAATAAGAAAATCAACAAAACTATGGAAAAGGAAAAATCACTTCATTTAACCACACAAGTTGATCTTATCTGCACAGGCCTTACTATTTAATTTCTTATATGGTTCAGTTATTATACCTGCAATAATTGCAAGATTCAACCAAGTTGCAATTGTCTTAGCACCTATTGCACATTCTCATTGGTATTTAGAAAAGTTTTTAAATATATCCATTGTTTATACGTGAATGAGTAATATGCACGACTTTCTGTTAGGTATTCTTGCTGGATACAATGTCGTTTGTGGACGCACTTCCAGCATTCAAAATGAAACAATGGCAAGTGGTTGTTCTCTTGTTAGTTGATGCATTGTCCGTTTGTAGAATACCTACTCTTATCTCATACATGACGGATAGGAGGGACTTATTTCTCAAGGTGAGACCATTTGTTTAGGTTGTATTTATTATTGTACACACATTACGATGGTAGGAATCCGGTCCACGTGCATGAAGCTTTTCATAATGATATCAGGTTGCATTGATATTTTGGAGAAGCATGTGACTTGAATTTATTAAAAAAAACCGCGTTCCCAATCTCTATTTCTCGACAAGATACCTACAATCATTATTTTTTAGTGTGAAATGGTGTTCTGCATATAAACTGAGCAATTTGATGGCTTGCAAAATTTCCTATGACACATGGAATGTGGAAGTTCATTATGTCTGGTCATTTTCAAATTTGTCTTATCTTATGCCATGTCTTGAAGTAACTCATCTCAATGTTTAATTCATTACCATTTTTCTGGTGTTGGTTTGGTGAATTAGGTTCTGAGTGGTTCACAAATAGGTAAAGAAGAGTATGACGTTTTGAAGGATCTCATTATACCACTTGGTCGAGCACCTCATTTCTCTTCTCAAAGTGGAGCGTGACAGACAGCACAGAACGTCCATCATAATTTGCCAAAAGCATCAACTTAACCACATATATCTTTTAATCATGAGCATAATGTTTACCATTTTTTCTCTGGGAAATTATACCTTCCAATAATTGCAGTGATAAGTTCATAGACTAAAAGGTTGTTAAAATTGAGTTGTAAATGCTGATATCCAATTTTGAATGGACAATATTCCGATAGGTTTCTATAAGTTCTTACATAGCGTATGACATATGCAAATATGCAAACATTACGGTGGAAAATGTCTTTTTTTTATAGAATAATTACAATTATCTTCTCCACAATTAAACGAAAAGCTTGCAAAAACTGAACTATATTGAAGCAATGCCTATTTTTTAGTAAGGTTGCTTCAATCAAAGTAAAAACACAACAATTTGCTTAATCACAAATTAAAAAGGCTTTCTTACCATTCATTACAAACAATAACAGTTTTAATACAAGAATCAATCATCTTCATTGCAATATATGTTTATGATGAGCATGAAGGAACCTCTATATTCACAATATAATAATGAAATAACTGGTAATAAGGGAATCCCGAGTTTACATAAATACTCTCCATCCTGATACACCAAATCTACACTCCAACAGCAACTTCATAGGGTACAATTTCTGGTGTGGATGCATTTAGGACTAATGTACTGCTCTGAGCAAGTTCATTTAGTGACTCTAGCTCCATCCCGTTTTGGTATTCAGAAATATCAAGAGGTGAATCTTTACTTTCTTCGTTGCCTTCTCCTATATCCGCTTTCACATCTTGCTTGATTACTTGAACATCATTTGTAACAGACTCGACAGAATCCAATTTTGTTTTTGTGACTGTGATTTCCTGTGTCTGTACACTGTCTTGTGTTTTTCTGATCGGTTTCTTAGAACTCACGCCTTTAAAACCTTTTACTTTTGCAATGGAACTAGAACTAAATTTGTTTTCTGAACTGTTGTTCACAATAGAGCCTTTGTTTCTTCCAAGCCTTGGTGATTTTGGACGTGTTGTAGGTATCTAATTAGTAGATACATACAATGCATAAAAGTAGAATTAGTAGAAAAAGAGAAAATCCTATGAAAGAAAAATACAAAAACTTTAGTAACCTTTTTGAGTTCAACTTTTGGAGGAGGTTCCTTATAGAAACTTGGCATTGGAGCTGCTTTGAATGTCATCCTCTTCCTTAATTTCTTGATCTCCGCCTCCTGGCTTTCCTGTCGAATATCAGAACAAAAAAAATATGAGATAATAAGCTAAAAGTAGCAGATGATTTACAAATGAAAACTTAAAGAACCTGGAGCAGAATATCTATCAGTTATTCGCGTTGATACCTTTGATTTCTCTTGCAGATTACTTTTCTCCGCTTCCTTTACTTGAATTTTCTCTTCTAACTTCGAGAAGAACTGAATGAAAAAGATAAAATAGGATTAATTTTTATCATACACAATTCAATATGAATAGGCTTCTGATGTTTCAATAATAACCTCTTTTCTTTTTTCAGCGCGTTCTTCTAATCTGAAGGAAAATCCAGAAGCAATGCTCTTCCTACGCGGAGTAAGACTTCTGATAACATACAAACTAATTTTATGAATATATTATAGCTAAAGAGAAAGAAGAAAAAATGGCAATTCATTCATCAAGAGATGTCAATGCCACAAATGCATATCCTAATGAATCATAATAATGTAAAATTTAGTAAACTTACGAAGTTGTCGAACGAACATCATCATCTTCTTTATTTGGTTTTTCACTTTTGGCAGGGTTTGAATTCTGATAAACAGAAACATGGAAAACCAATGAAATGAAAATAAGCTATCAAACAACATAAAATAAGTCATTGACAAACAAAGAATCTTGTTACCTCAGAGCTTTTAAAGCTATTGATGGATGTCAAAGAAGTTCTTTTAAAATTTTCATGGTTTTTTATTGCTTCTTTTGTGTTCACTTTTGAGTTTGTCAACTTTTTTGAATGAAGAGTTGAAGCCGCAGCTTGAGCATGTTTACTTTCCATCTTCTGAAGAATCCCATCAGTGCTTTTCTTCATCGCTTCAACACGAGCCAACTTGGATGGGAAAGTAAGGCTCTTCGAAAGGTTTTGTTGTCTTTGAGACGATGAAGTTGTGGCCTTCAAATTCGGTTTATCTTTGGTGTTAGATTTAGTGTTCTTTAAAGCTAAACCACTTTTGACACCAGGTTCCTATCATGACACGTTTGTGTTAACGTATTTGAATTTATCTAGTGACATAAATACTTATAAAACCGTCTAAGAGAGCATATAGAAACAAAGTCGGATACATTTTGTATGATACCTTGTCGCGTTCGGAGTTTTTAATAACCACAGAATTGTTGCCTTCAGATACTGCTATAGATTGAGATACTTCATTTTCGGTCTGATTTTCTGCATTAGAATCATCTTCAATTTCTTTATGTATATTCTTCTTAGTTGTTTCTCCAATAACATGTTTTTCGTCTTCCATAACAATACCATTATCTGATTCCATTGCGCTATAAATAGTCACAAAAAAATAGAGGTCACAAGATCATGATCAGTTGTAATATAACAAGAAATTTGTTTTATGTTTATTTTTTGTTTTTGAATCAAATAACAAAATTCAATCGACATAAATAGAAAATTAAAAAAATATACAGATTTAACCATAATTTTAGCCTCATACTTCTAAGAAAAGGATAACTGCAATAATTCATATACGTGTACAAAAATATAGTCTCTGCCGTTAAGTTCAGAGATATTTGGTTTTACTCAAAAGCTCTTTTAGATCATATATTTTACTCAAAATCTAGATCCTTTGGCTCTACAATGTTTGACATAAATCTGAATTCGAATCCTCAGATTCTAATGCTGCATTTTCTCAGTAAAATTAAAAACAAAACAGTAATAAATTGAAATTACAATTAGACCTTCATAGTGACAATAGAAAAAGCTTGATTCATATTGAAAAAACACACAATTCAATGAGAGATTATGCAAAATTTGAATAGAAATCAACAAAAATACAAAAAATGCATCTGGAAAACAAACACATGGGAATTCAGAATTTCTAATTCTAGATACAATAAATGATACATAAAATACTATCGGTTGTGTACCTCTTAAATTTGAGTTTCAGAGTGAATTATGGTGAAGATTAAGTAGGAATATGATAGTTGTTGGTGGTTTGGATTGGAAGCACTAGAAGAAGTGATTATTTTTGTAAGTGGTTTTGGATGTGAATTGTGATAGTTGAAAGTGAAGATGAAAGCTTGGAGTTGGTGACACTAAGGTTTTCTTTGCAAGAGTGATTTGTGGAAAGAAAGCTCAAGTGGAACTAAGCTTGCTTTCAATGATTTGGCATTGGAATTGGAATAGATAGATAGATTATTAGTAACTGTCACAATGACTCTTCTACCACTCCCTTAATCATGTAACTGTCCAATTAATATTTATTTTTGTTTTTCTAGTATATATCATTCAAAAAGAAATAGTTGGGTGTTTAAAATCGAAACAAACTAATAGAAAATTGTAAATTAAATTGAGTCAAATAAAAAATCGCAAAAAACTGCATTTAATTTAAATGTTTTGGACCATTTTTTAACCAAACTGTGCGGTTCAGTTTGATTTGTGGTTTGTATTTTGAAAACCGAATCAAAAGATATTATGTTACAACTCAAACTTCATTTAACTCACATCCAATCCAAACCCAAATCTATTATGTCTTAATCTTACGATTACAAACGGTTTTCTCTTCCTCACACTTAGGATTTCCATTTCATCCTTATCAAATCTTTCATAACAGTTTCGCTTTTTCTTTATTAAGTACATCTCGTTTTTTTCTTCCATTAATCACTATTCTATTCTATTTTTTCTATTGTATTTTGAAAACTATTTTTTCTATTGTATTTTGAAAACCGAATCAAACCGTATTATGTTACAATTCAAACTTCATTTAACTCACATCCAATCCAAACCTAAATCTATTTTTTTTTTATTGTCAATGCGTCTCCCTTTTTTCTTAACGTTAATATCACATAAACATCAATAAAAATTTAAAAAATTGATGGATTAAATATATGCGTCAATGTCAAAAGTATTAGACATGATACACATCCTTAATATATGTTTTTTGAGTAATGTTACAATGACACTTGCACCGTATTTATTATCGGAAAAAAAAACTTAAGTTTCGTATTAATTAAAGATACAATTTACAAAAGATTTATATAGAGAGACATTCCTCATCTTACCAACCGATTTTATAGAATTGAGTTAGACATGATACACATCTTTAATTTATGTTTTTTGAGTAATGTTACAATGACACTTGCACCGTATTTATTATCGAAAAAAAAATTAAGTTTTCGTATTAATTAAAGATACAATTTATAAAAGGTTTATATAGAGTGACACCCCTCATCTTACCAATCGATTTTATAGAATTGAGTTAAACTAAACTCTAATTCTATCTCACCAAAGTTTGACATGTGTGGAAAAAGCGGCATACTACCTTTTAAGAAAGAACTAAGGTTACAATTCAATTTGTTACATGTATATACTCTAAATTATCATCTTTTGCATGTATGAGAAAGGCAAGATAATGAAAAGAAGAAAAGGTCAAGGAAACACAAGATAACATAATCACTATCTAAGGACATGAGATTACAAGAACTAAGGATGGGGGCCGGCTATAGGTCATTACTCAAGGCTAGCACAAGCCATTAGACATAGCAAAAGGTGTGTCTCCTACTTAAAAATTGTTTGGGTTAAATATGTATATTTAGTTTCTATATTTTTTAAATCAATTTTGTCATGTAAAATCAATTTAATTGATAAAAAAAATAATATGTGAAGTTTTTACTTAAATAATCTACTTTTTAAAAAAATTTCTAAAATATCCCACTTTTCAAGTTATTTTCCAAAATACTCCACTTTTAAGGTGTGATAGAGAGGTGGCGTCATTTCAATTGGCAACATCTTAATGGGCTTTAGTGGTGTCGCTATTTGGATTGGAGACACCATATGATGCTGCCAATTCAATTGGTGACTGAGTGTTAATCTTAAAATAGATGCGCCAATTGATACAGAGACATGGTGCATTGTGTAAAATTTTTAAACAAAAATAAATAACATTAATCATTAATTAAAAATAATATTACATAAATTAATGTTGGCGACCGGGTTGGTCATACCGGCAACCAGTTCCACACCTCCCAGACACCCTCATTCGTTGCAGTCGTTCCCCTCGTTACACTCGTTTTCTTCGTTGTTGATTCACTCCAGGTGTTTGAGGAGTTGAAGTCTTAAGAACATTTCCAGCTGACTCTTTAAGAATTTCTTGTATTTCCACGAGGTCTTGTGTGTTGAAATTGAGCGTGTGACCCATGCCAGAGTAGTTCAGATGTGATTAATGAGTCATTGGTGTGCGGCCTGAACGATTGAAGGGGGACATTGGTGTGAAGGATTCGTGAACGGGGTCTTCAAAGAAATTAGAAACCTTGTGGAATCCATAAACGGAGTCTTCAAAGGAATTAGAAACCTTCCAATCACCGCTTTGGTGAGATCAACCTATTATAGGTTGGCATCACTATTTGCAACAAGAGGTGAAAGATGGAGTGCATTGTTAATGTCAGGTCAAATATTCAGTGAAAGCATAATGAAAGTGATGAAAGAGGATACTATCAAATCCAACACACATGCAACTACAGAATTTGACCGTCATAGGCAAACTTTCAGTGTACAGGAACAATGGACCATAGTGAAGGGATACCGAATTTATCCTATGCTGTCAGAGAAAACAGATGTCGGTGTGACTGTGACAAGTAGCAGGCCTTCCGTGTACCTTACTCACATGTCATTGCTGTAACACCCCAAATTCTTGGAATATTTATTTAAATATGAATATTTGCATTTTTGGTGATTTTTGGTGGTTGGTGTGAAATATTGAGAATTATGGATTTTAGGAAATTTATTTAAATAATAGTATATAATATGAATATATTGGTATTATTATTAATTTAAATAAATATAAGTTAACTAAGGGCAAATTGGACAATTAAGGAGGAGTTAGTGAGGGTAATATTGGAAAAGCCCAATTTAAAGGTCCAAAGTTAGGTTTAATAAAAAGGGATTTTTGAGGGAATTAGGATTCATTCTTGTTAGACCGTGAAAAGAGAAGAAATAGATGTCAGAGCTCTGAGGAAGAGGATTGAGGCAAAAGGTTCGCGAGGTTCCCACAAATCAAGGAGAAGGCTTAGAGTCGGCAATTAAGGTATGTGGAGTATTGCCTTCATTATTTTCAATGTGTTTAAAGCCGATTTAAGGGTTTAAGGGTAGAAGGTTATGTGAGCATTTGTATTGTTGTTGCCTTTTTAAGGTGTAAGAGTCTTATAAGAGTTTTGAACTGATGGCCTGATAGATTCGAGGCTGATTTGGGTTAAAGGAAATTAGGCCTTCGTGGCCAAAGATCTGGTTTGATATCTGTTTAATCCTGTAGGGTAAAAGGATGTATGAGAACCCTGTGAATGTGTGGTGTCTAAAAGGATTTATGGGAATTAGAGCGTGAATATGATACGAGTTTGGCCTAATAAGTCGTAGATTTTATGCCTTTATCGCCGTAATACCTTAGGAATGATTTAGGGATGTTTTTGGGTTATTGGGGAAGTGAATCGTGTGGACTTTTGGGTTGGTTTTGGTTCTTGTGCGTGACAGTGTTTTGCTGTAATCGTGTGTTCGCATAGCGAATAATCTCGCCCCAGACTCGCACAACGAACTTGCTAGCGAACATAGCAGAGTTTTCGTGAATTCTGATTTTGCACAGTGATGCCTTGATGTTTTGATGCTGTGATTCTTTGACGAATTAATATGAGTATGACTGTGATTTCTATGTGATTAACATATGATTATATGATGATTCCTATGATGTAATGATGATGAGTTATGATGATGGTTCCATGAGTTTTGATGATTCTATGATGACATGACATATGATGATGATTTTGATGAATGATGATGCACCTATGATGTTATTATGAGGATGACTATTAACGTGTGCATCTTGCATTCATGTGTATCCGAAGTTTGGTTCAGGACCTTGATTTCTTTGGCTTCAGTCCCATTGTGCGGATGTGAGGTATTTTGATGTGCTCTGGTTCTTGTATAGAATCGATCCTATTGATGGGGATCTGTGGAGGGTTGATGGCCCCGTGTCCATCGAGATGTGATGATTGGTACCACATGCATGAGTCTTGTTACATTTACATTTATGAGATAATCTTAAGTAATTTATGATGTTGTGGCCTTTGATGCCCATTGATGAATATGATGATGCATAATATGAAAATGACGTTGTTTTATATATTGATTATTATGAATCGTTTTACTCACCCTGCCTGTTTGAATGTTGCCTACACGTGGGTAACGTGCAGATGACCAGGTTTAGCCGTGGATGATCTTTTTGGAGTTTCGAGTTGTTGGCCATTTTGGTTAACTTAGAGGGTCTTGCTCTGA